CCTACTTCTCAGCTGAGATGCTACTTGTCATCTCCCATCCTCATTTCATTCAACTGTAAAATGGGGGGCAAATAGGTACCGCTTCAAGTGTGGCTGTCAAGTTTAAGGGTGAGAAAGTGACTGGCAGAGCCAGGCAGTGTTGGGTAAACGTCCTGCCTCCGTTCGTTTGTGCCTTCCTCTCAGCCCTATTCTGCGTGGACACTTGCTCGATTGGGCCTCTTAGTGAGGGTCAATTCGCCCCTAGATCGCTGCGCCTTAATACCGCGGTGACGGAGTGCCACCGCCTTGGTGCGCAGCTTCCTGGAAGGGACTGCAACCGGCCGGTTTACCCCAGCACAGCCCAAACCCGGGGCTTGACTAGCATGCCACCCAATGCACCCAGGAAATCAGGTCCCCAGGTGCGCGTGGAGGCCGCACCAGGCACTGCTCTCCCTACGGATCACCTGTCCCCCGACACACACACACACCGCGGGCTCTGCTCCGATGTCCGCGCTCCGAACGCCCAAACGCGGCCGCCGCTCCAAACATTTGTTCTCTTGACCTTCCCGCATCTCTGCCTCGGCTCCCTCGCTCGCTCGGCACTCCCGGAACAAGGAAATGGGAGGGAAGGGTATTTCTGAGGGGGGAGAGGGGGCGGGAGAGAAAAGAAGAGGAAGAAAAAGAGGAGAGAGAGGAGGAAGAGATTTTCTGGAGTTGTTGGTTGTTAGGATAGAACCAACTCTGGCTCCCTTAGTCCATTTCGACTGGCCTGGGTGGCACATCGTGGGTCTAGAAAGTGTTTTTCGACGCCTCCGTGTTTCTGTAGCTCTTCAGTATGTAAAATCCCCTTCAGTATGTAAAAGCAAATCAGGAAGAGAATCTAAATTCTTACTAAATTGTCCTAAAAGGGCTCTGTTCGGTATGGATGGTGCAGTCCTTGTGAAATATTTGTAGCACATTTGTGAACACCGTAGTTTCTCCGCCGCCCCCCCCCCACCGTCCCTGGAAATTCTCATTTATGGAGCATTCAAGTCCAATTTCAGTAAGACATTTGGAATGGAGTTAGTGGATTTGGATAGTTCACTGATGTAAAGTTAAAATTTGAAGTGGGAGAGAGGAGAGTTGTATATTTTAAAAAATTATTTCATGGAGCACACTGTGAGCTAAATATTCGTCAGGGTCCCGAGATGGTGACAAAGCTATTTCTACTCGGACAAATAAAAATCAAAGGTGCCGACTAAAAACAAACAAATTTGAAAATTCACGTCCGAAGAGACGGCTGCTTATTTCATTTATCAAACCCAGACTGACTGTCCCTGTGGATCTCATTCCCTGGGTACTAGTCAGGCTCTGTCCGTCGGGTTGCTTAGACCCCGGCGCCGCGTGTGTGTCTGGGGCCTGGGGGTGGAGGTCGGGCTGTGGGAGGGAAGCGTTCTCACACCTCCGATTTCACCTCAGGGCCATGCTGGACGAGAACTAGGCCCAGAGAGCAATTTTCTAAAGAAAAGCTCGAACCTCTGACCCGGAGGAGAGACGCGGCGCCCAGGAGAGACTGGGCGAAATGGGCCTTACAGCCAATCGGGAGGAAATTGAACATAGCGCACCGAGATGCAGATATGAAACAGGAACGGGGGAAAATACCCCGGGGTTCATTGGGAAGAGCGAACAAAGGAGGGGACAGAGTAAAAGACGGAATAACACCACCCCCGCCTCGGTTTTATGTAACTAGATGGTCGGGAAGCATTTTAATAATGTTCATCTCGGATTTTCTCGACCCCGGCCAGGGGCGGAACGAAGCTGGCGGGCCGGAGACCGGGAGGGGCGCGCAGGCACCTCACGCCCTCCGGGCCGGCCTTTCCCCGGGCCGCAGCAGCTCCTGTCGGGCCCCCGTGCGGCTCAGGGCGGGTTTTGTGTGGCGTGCTCGAAAAGGTTTGTTCGGGGGTCGCCGGAGGCGAGAGAGAGGCGAGAGACCCTCCAGGCGCAGCCACTGCCGCTCACTCTCACTAACCCGCGTTCCTCCTCGGCGCGCGTGGCCGACTGTGCGCCCACCCCTCCCGAATACCCACACGAAGCTATTTAAACCCAACTCGGGGGGCAGAGACGCTCCCTGCTCCGCGAAGGCCGAAGCGCCGCCTTGCGGGGCCCAAGGCTGCTCCCCCACTCCTGGCCCCCTCCACCCCCCTCCCGGCGCTAGCCAGGGAACTCCGTCCCAGCCTGGAGGGAACTTCGGCGCCCGCGGCTCGAAGCCCACAGGGCCCGCGGCATCTTGGCGGCCGTTCGCCCCGATCGCCCAGTGCGGTAGTCGAGCCCGCGAGGAGCGGTGCGGCTCCCCGCTACACCCAGGTCATAGTTCCGGGGCCACGGTGTTTTAAACTGCCACCCAGCAGAGCACCACGGCCCCTAAACTCGACTCTGGGAGGTGGGGTGCGGTGGGTCTGCTCTGGGGAGGGCAGCAGGGACCCGGGAGAAAGAACCCATTCATTCGCTTCCTGAGGGGCATAAGTTTGGGTAGCAGCTGTTGCGGGAGAGGAGAGCCAGTGTCCTCGACCCCGGGTCTGCCCTTTAACCCCAGCCAACACGGGCCCGAGGGGAAGACGGTCCGGGCCAGGCCTGGGCCCACGGCTGCCTCGCGGCCCCTCGGGGCTGTGCCCCGTACCTCTCCTGGTACGAGATGCTGCAGGTCAGAGGCCCCCTGAAAAACAAAAATCGCCGGGCTCCTCAACACGTCTTGAGGGGCTCACGGGCTGTTCAACACTCTGCGCCAAGGAGCCCACTGGCTCCGCCGGGCACAGCCCGAGGATGAGGATGGGGGTAGGTGGTTACTTGAGGTTTAGAGAGATTTACAAAGAGAGTGAGGCCGGGGTAGAAGACTCCGGGCGGTTAGTTTTTGCAGGGACTGAAATTACCGGTAAAATCTGCATACAATAGAGAATTGCCTAGCTGAAACAAAGTAGTCAGTTGCATCCTACCAGTTTTCCTCCCACCGTCCTTTTTCCTTCTTTGGACAACTCCTATCTTACTTGGCTTTTACAACAGTCCCGTTCCATATTCTTATGCCCAGTTGCCCTTATGGCTCCCTCTGCCCCTCTTGTCCAATGAGGCCAATCCAGAGCCCTGGAGTCGGGGTGCCACAGTCTACACAACCCAGAGGCGGGGACTTCACGGTCTCTACGCCCTCTACCCCCACCATCAACCTCCCCAATCCCAGGATCCGGGTTTGTGTAAAGAGGGTCAGGGCACCCTCTCCTCCTCCCCATCGGTTTTCAAGAGAATCTCCGCAGTAAAGACATGCGCTTCCTGAGCGCTATCCGTCCCCGCAGTCAGGTCGCGGTTTGCCCCAGGGGTAGAGTGGAGGCGCGGATCCGTCCCTTTCTCAGGAGAGCGGCATTTCTGAAAGTGCGAGCTTCCTGTCCGCCCAGGCAAACGAGTTGCAAGGCGCTGTGTCCTCTAGCGGCAAACTCTCGCAGTTCATTTGTGAGCGCTCACCTACACACCTATGGGATCTGGTCGGGAGGCAATTCACACTCAAATTTGAGTCCTAAGTGGGGGGGGGGGGGGAAGTCTCCTGAATGAAATCCAGGCTTTCGCCAAGGCCCTCTCGGTAATGAGGCCGGGAGGCTCGGGCACCGTCGCTCGAACTGCGGAACAGCTGATTTGTCTCCTCCACGGCAGATGGTCTTTGAGCACAGATTTGCATTCATTGTCTTCAAATCTGTTTTCGCGCTGGTGTTCTAGATTTCAGTAGCAGATCTATGCGCAGATCAGAATACAAAAGGAGAAGCAAGAAAATAACACCCAGCCAGGAGGAGTTTTAATAGGCACTGCGAGCTGCCCGGCGTAGTTAAAAAGCCGCCTAGAGTTTCAGCTGTTTAGCGGAGCTGCAGCCGTCTCCCGGCCATCATCAGCCCGCGGCCAGCACCGCGGCGACCGCGCGCCTTGGGCAAAGTTTCCGCGACTCCCCCGCTGCCTCCCAGCAGCTCCTCTGCTGGCTCCCCCGGGTTTCGGGAACTGGGCGGGGGGTGGGGGGACTGGGGACAGGAGGGGGCTCCCGGGACAAGGCAGGGCAGCTCTAGCACTCAGCCTGCCACGATCTGTCAGCAACCTCTCATCTGCACGGGTGCAACTCCCGCTCGCGTCCGCCCGGGGGTATTTTCCTTAGCTCTTTGACCGTTTCCCCCGACACTGTTTATTTGAATAGCACTTGAGCCTTGTTCGTCCCCACCCCCGACTTCATTCATATATCCTTGTCTCTCAACTTGTAAACCGCACACAAAACCTGAGTGTCACCAAGTAACTCCAGGAGACTTGGGAGAGCCGTTCAGGGAAACTGGGTTGCTCTCGGGAACGTTTGCACCAAACATAAGTACATGCGGTCACACTCCGCTTCTTCACAAACCTGCACACAGAACCCAAGCCCCGGGAATGAATACGCCTCCCCTCCCGCAGGCTACAAAAATCTGCATTTAGAGGCAGGATCCATGGAAGCCTCCCGCTCCCGCGACCAGACTGAGCCGGCGCGTACCAGCCGGCAGGGCTGTGCTACCCCGCTTCAGTGCAGGATTTGCGGACCCTCATCTCACGCACGCACATAGGGTTCGGGCTAGGACCCAGGGCCCGCAGCTTTCTGTCCCCTTTCACCTCCCGGACTCCAGGCAACGCCGAGCGGGGCGCGCGCCGCCAAAGGACGTCGGCCGGGCCTGCCCAGCGCCGGCCAATCCCGAGCGTCCATGCAAATGAGGCTCCTTATCGGGCCGCGGCTCCGCCTTCCGCGGCCAGGGCCGTAGTAACCCATTCATGGGGCGGGCGAGCTGCTGTAGCCCGGCTCCGCAGCGCTCGCAGCCACCGCCTCCTCTCGGCTCCGGGTCTTCCCCTTCCTTTCACAACTGATCCTGTTGGGGATTTTTTTTTTTTTTTTTTTTTTTTTTTTTCTAAATTGGAGCGGTGGGGAGGAGCAGGGAAGGGGGGTGGGGGACCAGGAGGAAGGGGAGAGATTAGGCAGCCATCAATCTCCTCCTGTTTCTCCCAGAACAGGTGATGCTTCAAAATTGTGATCACTTTCTTGAGGCAGCGCTGCCACTGGAAGGATGCGAGAGACCTAGGGCGGAGGGCCTGAGGCGGCAGATCTGAACTTGAGGAGGATATAACCCAAACTTTAACTACATCAGTCCGCACCTCACGCGTGGAAGCAAAGGACGGGTTATCTTTTTAAATTTTTTTTTCACAAGAGAGACTCAAACTTCGGCACTTGATCCCTTTTCCTGGATTGCTTTGGAGGAGACGGTTTGGTGACAACGTTGGGAACAGTGAGGACAGCGTTGTAACTCATTTTTAAAGCGACAGTAGATCAGACTTTTTAAATGTTTGGGATCCAAGATACTTTAGGAAGAGGACCAGCTCTGAAAGAGAAATCGCTGGGCGCCGAGATGGATTCGGTCAGGTCCTGGGTCCGGAATGTCGGCGTGGTGGACGCCAATGTCGCTGCGCAGAGGTAACGAGACGGCCGCACAATGATTATGCTCGCAATCTCTCGCTTGTTCGCTCCCTCGCTTTCACTGTCTTTCTCTGTGTGTGTGTGTCACCCCCCTCGCTGCTCGCGCTCGCGCTCGCTCTCCCCAGCATCTGCCGCCCCGGCCCCGCGCGCTAGGGCTCGCCCTCCGGCAGGCAGGTCGCCGCAGTTAGGGGAACACTTATCCCGCAGCCAACACTCGAGTTTCTGAACTGCCTGGATGCCCCACTCCTTCCCCACAGACTACTCTTTGGGAGGAAAAACAACAAAGTAGTATCTGATGCCTCTTAGCGCAGCCCCTAGCTCTGCGAGGCGGGCCCAGCCAGGAGCAGAGCTTGAGGACCGGAGCCGGCAGCGGCGGCCGCTAGAGGAGAGCCGCTTCCCGGCGACTCCCGGGTCTCGCCCAGCTGCTTACGAGCGCCTCTCCTCCCGCATCTTGCCGGCCAATTCTTGGAGGCCGAGGGCCCAAGGCCAGATGGAGCAGGAGAGGCCGGAGTGCCTGCCTGGGAAGGCAGAGCGGCCGGGTGCCCTGGGAGGGGGGCAGGCTGGAGGGTACGCGCGCAGAGAGAAGACAGTGGACTAGATGCACGGAGGCGGGGGTGAGGGTAGAGAAGAGACTAAAGAGAAAAGACGAAGGAGTAACAGTAGAAAGAGTCACGGAAGAAAGGAGACGCACCGCAAACGCAGGGATCACAAGCCTCTAGTTTTGCTGGTCCCTGAACTTGACTTTGTTTGTGAGCATTCTCCTGCTGACGTAGTAAGTGCCTTCTCTAGGCTGCCACCCCATGAAGACATTCTGCTTCCCCTCCCTCACCACCACTATTGAGCTGAGGTTTGTGATCTCCACGACCTTGTCTGCGAGAGACAGCCCCCTTAGCCCCAAGATTTCTACCCAGCACTGACGCCTCTCTATCCACTCTCCTGGCCATGCCCCTCGCAGTCCCGACATCACGCAGAGAAATTACTCCTTTCCAGGCCAGGACTCTAGGTGTCCCGGGTAGAGCGAACCGGGCCGCCACCCTTGGACGAGAGGAAGCAAAAGGCGCATCGCTCAGGAGAGCGGGGCAGGCGGCGGCTACCTCCCACCTGCCCGAGCCCGGGGGGGCGCCAGTGTCCTTCAGCAGATGGCACGCCGTGGCGGCGGCTTTCCGCAGCCGTCTGGGGACTCGCTGGGCTACGGGCTGAGGGAAACCAGGCAGCGCCGCAGACTGGTCTCCACGGCGCAGTTCCCTAGCCGAGCTCTGAAAGACACCTCCCCTACTTTCCTCCTTTCCCAGATCAAGTAATTGTGAAAGTTGGAACAGGCTGTCCGTTGGGGGAGTCTAGTCAAAATTTTACACCCTTCAAAAGAGGGAAAGTGCTCGCGCCCTGGGGCAGGACGCCCCGCGACCCCAGCGCCCCGGAGCAGCTCCGTCCATCTGCCTGCTCGCCTGGACCCCGAGTCTCCCGTTAAATGTGATCTGGCGACCAGTTTGTTCCCGGCCGCGACAGGTCGGCAGGGAGGTGTGTGCACATACTCAACACGCTTCAGGGCGCCTGTCGGGTCCTCCAACACGGCTTTCGCGGTCAGCGTGTTTGGCCGGCGCCGTCCAGAGATGCGGCTACAGCGGGGAGACTCTCGGCCCCAGGCGAGGACGCGCTCTGCCTCAACTTTTCGGCTTCTCCAAGCTCAGCAGTTCTAGGGGCGGGGTCCTCAGTATTATGTCGTCCGCGGTGGTCTTCGATCGCTAGTACTGGTCGAGGGGGATTCTGCCCTGCCACTGTCCCTGGCGCAACTTTTCGGAAGAGGGTCCTCAGTATTATGTCGTCCGCGGTGGTCTTCGATCGCTAGTACTGGTCGAGGGGGATTCTGCCCTGCCACTGTACCTGCCGCAACTTTTCGGCAGAGCGAGGGAAGCAGGAGGTGAGGCCTCTCCCTGTAGGACCGTGACTTGGCCTCTGGGCTTCCCATCCGCCCCCAGGGCGTTCTCTCCCACCGCCTCTCCGAGATAGCTTGGCGGGTGGTGCGTTGTGGGCAGTAGTGCCAGGACAGATCACTCCAATGAAGATGAAGGAAAAGGGTCACTTGTTCAAAAATAACGAGGCGCTTCGTCCCCTACCCCTCGGGCCCAGCTCCGAATCCTGACCCGGTCGGCGGCGGGAAGAGGAAGATTGGGGCGGCACAACGACAAGATTTGGGCCGCCGTCTCGGGGGGACCCTGCGGGCTTTGGCCTGCAGTCGCGATTCCTTGGTCTCCACTAAAGGCCGGACATTGAGCTACTGGGCATGAGATGTCTGGAGGCTGGAACGGCTGGCGGTGGCAAAGTCCAGAGTCGTGGGCCCCGCTATCCGACGACCCCCGTGGCCACTGTGACTCCTCTAAGGAGTCCCCGCTTCTTAATCCTAACAGAAAAAAGCGCCCGAGGGGTTCAGAAGCCTGGACCGGGACATGGACCCTTGACCCTCTGCGATGTCGCGTGGGCGTGTTGGTAACTTCGTGTCTTTCTCTCCTTCCCCGTGTCTGGTGTCCCCCGTGTCTCTTCGTGCGCAGCGGGGTAGCCCTGTCCCGGGCCCACTTTGAGAAGCAGCCTCCTTCCAACTTGAGGAAATCCAACTTCTTTCACTTCGTCCTGGCGCTCTACGACAGGCAGGGGCAGCCGGTGGAGATAGAGCGCACCGCCTTCGTAGACTTTGTGGAGAACGACAAAGTAAGCGGAGGTCCCCCTCTTCCCCTCGCGGCCTAATAACTACCTCCTTGCAAAGCACTAAAGATCCCATCTGTCACTCCCGACACTTTTCCGCTCACATCAGCAGGGATGATAAATCGAGGCTTCTCACCCCTAGCCCTTAATTCAGTCAATTTCCCCGCAGCTTCTCCCGCCGGCACTCTCCGCCCGCACATCCCGCTGCAGCGGCGCTTGTGGCTCTGCGCACCCGGCTTCTGGATCATTAGCAGAGACTGGGCACGGACTGACCACGGAGCAAAGTCCTTCCAACTAGAGCATAGTTTAAACGTATACTCAAAGCCGCCACTGCCCTTCTCCGGGTTATTATTTTTTTATTATTATTATTTTGCACCTGCCAGCACGGCGGAGTGGGTTAGATAGGTACAAGGCGGAAACCCATAGCCCAGCCTTGCCCCTCCACCCCCAGCCTTCTCTTCCACTCTGGTTCCCAAGGCAGTGCCTGCCCCTGCCCAGGCCCCGGTATGGGCACTGGATTTTATCTCAAACGAAGCTGATGTGGGAGGAAAGGAAAGTCTCTTGCTCTCTCTGGGCCTCCATCTCTTCAGCTGTACCGTTCAAGCTTTGGAGCCGGCTCTTCCCAAGGTTCTTCTTGAACCCGGACGTGGGTCCCTGAGCTAGTGGCTCCAAGGCTGCGGTCCTGGCGGGACAGGGCCAAATGCTGCTCTTCCAAGTGACAGGTCCCCTCACCTTTCTGCAGGACAGGCAGTACCCGACAGGTTGGGTGGGGCCTGTTTAAAGGCAGCCTGGACATAGTGTCCGGTGGCCCCAGCTCCGGGGTCGCGCTTCTGAGGGCATTTTTAAGGGGGAGGGACAGACGGTTGGAGAGGGTCCAGTGACCACCAGCCTTGGAAAGTTTTGGAGCTTGGACAGCGGCAGATGCTCCTGCCCTTTGACCCGGACCTGGGCAGGGGGCTGTTCAAAGCCGCCCGGTGACTGGGAGAAAGGCAGTGGGAAGGGGGTTAGGGAAGCCCCCTCTCTCTCCTTTTTGGGGTCTGGAAAGCAAGGGACTCTGTCTTTTCAGGAACAAGGCAACGAGAAGACCAACAACGGCACCCACTACAAGTTACAGCTCCTCTATAGCAACGGTGAGCGCCCTGAGTGCCCGCGGCGCCCGCTTGTTCCTCTTTCCAAGGAAGGCAGTTGACCTTGTCGCGGTCACCGGCAGGCGGGCTCCAGGCCTGGGGAGAGCAGGGCTGCGGGAGGCTCGCTCAGGGCCGGGGGCGGGGGCGGGGGCGGGGGCGGGCCGGTGGTGTCTGCCCCCAGGACGGCTCCGCCTGCGCTCGGGCCCGGGCTCCACGGCGGGACAGGTTTGGGATGCCCGGGCGGGGCTCCGCGGCCCTCACCTCGCGCCCTCCTGCCTCCCCGGCAGGTGTCCGCACGGAGCAGGACCTGTACGTAAGGCTCATCGACTCGGTCACCAAGCAGGTGAGCCCGGCTGTCCCCTCCTCTCGCGGGGGTGGGGGGGTGGGGCCCTCCGTCCTGCCCCCTCCCCCCTCTGGCCTGTCTCTGACCTCCCCCTACCCTCCGCGATTTCCTGGGTCAGTCTTCACAGCCCCTCCACAGAAACCCACACTTTGTCTGCTCTGGAAAAATAAATGTTCCCTCTCACTCCCCAATTGTCCTGTCTTTCTAGCTGGGGAGACTCTGGAGATGGGAGTAGGTGAGCAAAGGGTTGAAGAGGGGAAACAATTATTGGGAGATTCAGCCCCCCCCCCGCCCCAGATATTCCCTCTTGCAAGAAATATGTCCTCACCAGGGCAAACTTTTCTCTTACTATTTCGCTCGAGTTAACCAGGCCACAGCTCAGTCTGTGCTGCCAGCGGGCGCTCCCGAGGAAGTAGCGGGCAGAGAGAGGAAACCTGATTTTGTGCTCGCTCTTAAGTCCCCTTTTCTTTGTCCCTCCACTCCCTCGTATCTCCCCACCCTGCCCCCGCCTCCTTCGCAGCCCATAGCTTACGAGGGACAAAATAAGAATCCGGAAATGTGCCGAGTTCTCCTGACACACGAAGTGATGTGCAGGTAAGAGCCGTGTTTTCCTGCAGGCTTTGCCGGAGCGCGGGGCAGGTGAGCTGCGCCCGGCGCGCTGGCTCGCGTGCGTCTCGGGCGCTGACCTTCGCGAGCGCTGGCGCGCGGAGCGGGCGGCCTCGCCCGGGCTTGCCTCCTTAAAAGACAGATTCTAAGAGCAGATCGGTTGGGAGTCGAACAGGAAACCCAGAACCACTCAGGATTCCACCCCCAGGCGTCTCAGGAGTTTCCTGTGCTCCGTGGAAGGTCCGCTGTCCAGCGGTCGGCGGCAGCGCGGGGAGGGGCTGGGCAGCCGCGGGTCAAGTTTGGGATCGGGGGCTTTCCCTGAGTCGGTCGCGGTCCAAGCCCCGCCGGTCCGACCCGCTAGGGGTAGATGCACAGGAGGGGCCACTTGTGGAGTTACCGAGTCAAGGTCCTGGAACGACTGGCAGTCTGGGCGGGCGACCACCGCAGGGGATGGAACGGCCCGATTTGGGGGCGCTACCCCTTGCCCCCCAGCTAAGGCACCTGTCTGTGACGCAGAAGCGTTTTCTTCGTCCAGGAAGTTGCTTTTCCTAGATTTCCCGAGCCACGGGAGTTTCTTAGGTCAGGAGGAACTACCGGCTAGAAAGAGCAGTCGGGTTCACCACCTGTGGATGGGAGGAAGTGGGGGAGAGGACCCCAACCGGGGAGGTACGAGGTCTGGAGCAGCAGCTGGATTCTGAGGGCCAAGTTGTGAAAGGTGCAGTCTAAGTCGAATTCCTACACCTTTTCCCATCTTCTCTTCTGAGACCAATCCATTTCGAGTCCTTCTGCTGGAGCAGAAGAAAATTAAAAAAAAAAAAAATTAACCCGTACATTTATTCATTCTTTCAATAAATGTTTATTGAGTGCCTAATATGTGCTGGTTATGGGGGAATCCCACAGCAAAGGAGAAAAGCTATAGAAAGGAAACTCTGGGAAGAGGTGGTTATTTTATTATAAAAATTTAAATGCTATTCCATGCACATTTTTCTTCCTCCAAAATCTCTGATTGGAGAGAAAGCCTCAATTCTTCCTTACTCCACTGTTGCTTCAGTGAATGTCTTCCAACTCCAGACTGTGGGTAACTGCAGGCAGTCTGATTTAGTTTAGACTGTTTTATGGGCAGCTCCCGGCAGCCCCGTCTCCCTCCTCATGCAGTCAGGAAGAAACCATAACAATCAGACATGTTTGTTTTGGTTTTGACCAAGTATTAGAAAAACAAACTTTGCCAACTGCAAAGTTCAACTCTGCCAGTGGCCTCAGCTGAGGGGACTCGAGGCTTCCTCTCCTGAGTAGCTGGGTGAGGTGTGGGACAGTGGGGTAAGCAAATGGCTACTCGGTTATCCCAGGGCCCCTTGATAGGTACATTCAGAAAGAAAATACAATTCCAAGATGAACTTGCATGTAGTACCTAGTTTAAATAGTCAGAACACTTTTATTTGGTTGGCTAAGTGAAAGGCAGGTTTTTTTAAAAAAATTCTTCTTTCTACTTTTAAATGTCTTTGTTTGGAGAGATTATCTTCTTAAAGGAAAAGAAAACAAAACCTAAATCTGGCCCATTGTCTGACAAATTATACCTATCACTTTAAATAATACTTGCATGCCCTTTCCAGCTGTAGTTAAGGCTGACATTTTTATTTTTTTAAGCCCAATCAAATCCTCCTCATTTTATGCTGTTTAAGTAGCAGCATCAATTTTTAAAGCCTGTAGTTTAGTCTGCATTAGTAATACAATATAAAAATTTAATGTACTGTAACTTTTCTGCATTTGAGACGTGGGAAGACGCTCTATTTTCTTCCCAAACTAGAATTTAAAACAAATATTAACTGTGGGTAAATAAATGATCCATGGGATGGGTACTGTGTCTGTAGTGTGTGTGTGTGTGTGTGTGTGTGTGTGTGTTTTGGGGGATGAGCTGGGGTGATGGCAAGTATTGGGTGCATCTAAAAGGGAAGTTCCCATTCAATCTGTCAGTCAGAGCTGGTTGACTGTTTTCAGGGAACAAAGTTCCTTCTCTCACATTTTAAGAGTCAGTTATCACAGTCAGTGATTAAGGGATGAATCAGATGCTCTGTTTCTCAGTGGGTACTGCACACACTTAGTTTCATTTGCAAGGTGTTCTTGGGCATACCTGGGAATTTTCCTGAATGGTTTTGTGTTCTGTAATCTTTAGTAAAAAAGCTCATAAACTGGTGTTTAGCTTTTAGGCGGCAACAAAATAAATCTCTTTTAGGTATAACTTTTCTCTCCCTTCCCCAATGGTCTCCTCTCCGCTCTTC